AGCTGCCTCCAAGTTTTTTTCCAGAGTGGTTGCACTAGCATTGTAAGAGTTCCTTTTTCCCCGCATCCTTCCCAACACCTGTTTTTGGTGGTGTTGCTAATGATGGCTATTCTAACAGGATGAGGTGGAATCTTAGTGTGGTTTTAATTTGCATTTCCTTTATTGCTAGAGATGGTGAGCATTTTTTCATGTGTTTTTTGGCCATTTGAATTTCTTCTTTTGAGAAAGTTCTGTTTAGTTCACTTGCCCACTTCTTTATTGGTTCATTAGTTTGAGGAGAATTTAGTTTTTTAAGTTCCCTATATATTCTAGTTATCAGTCCTTTGTCTGATGTGTAGCTGGCAAATATTTTCTCCCACTCTCTGGGTGTTCTCTTCAGGTTAGAGACCATTTCTTTTGTTGAGCAGAAGCTTTTTAGTTTTATGAAGTCCCATTTATCTATGCTGTCTCTTAGTTGCTGTGCTGCTGGGGTTCCATTGAGAAAGTTCTTGCCTATACCTGTTAACTCCAGAGTATTTCCTACTCTTTCCTGTACCAACTTTAGAGTTTGTGGTTTGATATTAAGATCCTTGATCTATTTTGAGTTAATATGGGTATAGGGTGATATACATGGATCTAGTGTCAGGTTTTTGCAGACTGCTAACCAGTTTCCCCAGCACTTTTTGTTGAAGAGGCTGTCTTTTCTCCATCGTATATTTTTAGCTCCTTTGTCAAAGACAAGTTGGTTATAGTTGTGTGGCTTCATATCTGGGTCCTCTATTCTGTTCCACTGGTCTTCATGTCTGTTTTTGTGCCAGTACCATGCTGTTTTTATTGTTATTGCTTTGTAATATAGTTTGAAGTCAGGTATTGTGATACCTCCAGCACTGTTCTTTGAACTGAGTATTGCCTTGGCTATTCGTGGCCTCTTGTGTTTCCATAGAAATTTAACAGTAGATTTTTCAATCTCTTTAATGAATGTCACTGGAATTTTGATGGGAATTGCATTAAACATGTAGATTACTTTTGGGAGTATCGACATTTTTACTATGTTGATTCTACCAATCCATTACATGGGAGATCTCTCCACTTTCTATAGTCTTCCTCAATCTCTTTCTTCAGAAGTTTATAGTACACCAAGGCTCCTGATGAATTTTGGAACCTGCAAAGGTGATATTCATGGTCCTAATGTAGAGTCACTTTGCAGATCAAAGGGTAGGGGATGCAGACAGACCATGGGCATGCACTTGAGGGTGGGACGGTTGGGAGGAAATCTGATCCACTGACTTGCTTGAGTGGAAAAAATTATTTTGAGACTTCAAATGAATCATCACAAACTCTGTCAGCAAGAGTGTTTTGAAAAGTCTATCCAAAACCACACAAAAATAAGCAAAACAAAAGTTCTTGGAAGCATTCTAGGAAATAAATGACCTGCTTACACCTCTGCAAGAATATTTCTTCCCCAAAATCATGCTACCTTGCCAAAACAGTGCTGATGGGGGGAATGCCTCTCTCCATTCACAGCAGGGAGAGAATTTTATAATAAAATTCGCCAACTTCATGACATATCCCACGTAATATCAAAATGAAGACACCAAGCTACTCTAGGGGCCTCAGTCATGCCAGCAGAATTCCTTCAGGTCTGTGAGTGGAGACAGGGCTGAAGGATGGCTTCTGCAGCAATTGAGGGTGGATAGAGGTGCTCTTATATTAGACAGAGGTCTGTCCACTTGGAAAAGTACCCCAGATTATCTCAAATTGGTGCCATGTTCCCAGGCCTATTGGGAGTGGAGTGGATACATCTTTCTAAATGGCAATAAAGACGGTAAAAAGAGTAATCCCAGAATTGCAGAGGCTGAGGCAGTCTATATAGTGAGACCCTGTCTTTAAAAATGTAGTAAGAACTCACTTGTGATTGGATAGAGATATGGCTCAAGAGGTAGAGCGCCTATTTTGCAAGCATGAAGTTCTGAGTTCAAACCCCAGTTCCACCAAACAAAAACAAAAACAGAAACAAAAAAATCCCACTTCACTTGTATTTAGGACATTAAATCACCACACATGAACAAGTAATCCAAGCAGTTGACATATCCGTGTCCTCTTGCCCTGTACCTGCGAATCTTCCTTGATGTGCACCACTGACTGCTCACCAAATCTCCTCTCCAAAACAAAAAACACACAACTCATGCACTTGCCAAATCCTGTGTTTCTCTACAGAGCACTCTTATCTTCTTCATGGGCAAAATCCTATGATGTCACTCTCCAGCTCTTCACTGAGAAAAAGTTAGTGATTTGCCCCTCATCCCCACCCCGTTCCCATCCCCTTTCCCAGCCACTATAACCTACACCTTGTAGTCACCTTGCAGCCCCTGTCCACCACACAGGGGATGCTGGACTGTGTAGAGATATGTTTTGATTTAAATTGCCAAGTTAAATTTAAATTGATTTAAATTGTAAGGAAAGGGGTAGGGGAAATGTCTTAGTACCTTCCAGTTACTATAGCAAAATGCCATAGATTAGTGACTAATTACCAACAAAAATTTATTTCTCACAGCTCTGGAGACTGGGAAGACTAAGAGAAAGGTACAAGCAAATGCTGTGTGGTGAGGGCTGGATCATTGTAGAGGGCACCTTCTTGTTGCACTCTCATGTGGTAGAAGGGGAAAATTAGCTCTATAGGGTCCCTTTATAAGGGTACTAATCCCATTCAGGAGGGCTCCACACTCATAACCTAATCTCCCAAAGGCCTTGCCGCCTAATATGGTGAGCTTTGGGGCTAGAATTTCAATACAGGAATTTCAGGAGACACAGTCTTTTTCCCACACTTCATTTGGTACTTCCTGCCATTCCTGCCTTACCAAATCTACTTGGTCTTCACAGCTAACCCCAAATGTTATATCCGTTAAGAATCCATTAATAATCTCAAATGAAATGTATCTCCCAGTCCTCTGATATGTAATTATACTGTCTCTGCTTTTTACCTTGCACTAGGCTTATCTATGTGCACAGGTAATTTCCCTTACCAGACTACAAACTCTCTCAGAAGGTAAGATCCACATGGATACATTCATTTATCACCCTTGGAATCCACCACAGTGTCTTAGACATAAATATTCCATGAATGAATAAGGTGTGTGAGTGATGATTTTTGCTTTGTATCAATTGAGAGAATTTAAAAATTAATTCTAACATATTCATTCAATTTCTCTGAGAAAGTCACCTAATGAACAATAACAAAACTGAACTTCACCAATATACTTAATATAATTTACTTCACCTCTATCTTTTTCAGTTAATAGGCCATTTGCAACACAACTAAAACAAAACCCCTATGCTGAAAGTTCAGTAAATAAGACTGATGATGATGATGGCAACAATAAACAGAAAAAAGAAATCTTGTCTGTTTGCTACGCAAATAGTGTGATTTGGAAGAAATAGATAAGGGAGGCAGGACCTAACTTAAAACTCACTGGTGACATTTGTTAGGTACATTAGCAACTGCTGGGTGTCTAGTGCCTTTTAAACAGATTGCATTCAGTAAATGAAGGATTTCTGTAATGGAATCTGGGCAAACTGCGGCCATTCACCATCACCACGAGCCAAAACTTGAGCACAGGATCCTGACTCCAGGATTAGATAGTCACCCTCTGCTGCAGACAGGCCACATTAGTTCCTTTAGAAGCAGGCGAGTAAATGAACATCTTGTAAACTTGTGAGTTCAGAGGCAAACACTTCTGATTTCACTATCTAGGTAGAAAGGTAAAAGGTCTGGGGGCAGCACTGTGGTTATCTCTTCCTATGTACATAACCCAGGTACAAGAGAACAATTGCCACAATTGTTCCTATGTTCATCAGACACATTACTCCTGTCACTAGTTCATCCAGCTTAGATGACGGCTGCTCTACCACCCAAGTGACACAGCTTCTGAAACAAAACCATACCCAATGCTCGTCACAAACCCTCACTGATAGAGCCATTTAAACAAACTGAATCCACCATGGGGAAAGATGAAGCACAGAAAAGACTTCAAAGAAAATAATCTCACTAGAATGTTCTTTTTTGGGGGTAGGGGCTAAGTCTAAAAGCTGAAAATTTTAGTCTCTGATCTAAAGATTTAAGGATCCTCGAAAGAAAAGGAGTTCTGATGAAACTGGAATAAGAGGTCGGAGGGCATAATAAACGATCTGTGCAGGCCTTCTCCCTATCAGTGTTTTATCGGTTAAAGAATATCAGTGAGGATGAGTCATTTCTGTTTGAAGCAAAAAACACATTGACACAGAAACAAAGATGCTTGGAAACTTTATATTCTTTGGTTCCTTGAACAATCAAAGGCCTTGTCTGGTCAACATTTGCAGTAATTTTTCCCAGGGGGATTATGACTATTTGAGAGGGATGAAAGAACAGCTTCGTGTGATACGTTTTCATTTTCTCACACTCAAGATCCACCTCTTGATGTGGAGGCCACGTTTTGGATGTATTAAGAAGTGTGAACAAACAGAGACTGTCACCAAGCTCACTGTCCTCTTGCTGTACAGAAGGACTAAAACCAGTCTGGAGAATCAGTCTTCTAACAAACTATAACTTCAAAAGGTGCGTGTCAAAGAAAGGAGGCTCCCCCAAAACAGGAGTAGGATGTAAGATTAAACGCTTACAAGATTTGAGTGATTCTCCCACAGATATGGGAGGCTTGGAAGTTGAAAGCTCAAGTATCTAACAGTATTTCAAACTCATGGGCAAGAGGCACCCGTGTTCATAATAGTGGAGTCCTTCTCTTCAAGGTCAAAGACTCAGTGTTACAAACTGAACCTAGAATTCCTCATATTTACCCAGTCAACTCCAAAGAGGACTGAGCCTACAAAAACTATAGACCTGGAACTACCTCTTGTTTAATTTTAAGTATGTTTTTCCACTAAGATGTGTTTTGTGACTGCTTATGCAGAACTGGGGGAAAACTGTGTACACACCAGCAGCAGAAAGCTGCAGAACCCCTTGCTAACAGTGGAGATCACAAAGTAATTACCGTGCTCCAGCGCTTTCATTGGAAACCAGAAGAGGATGAGGGAGTGAACCAAGGCGTGGATGCAGTGACCCCAGAAAACCTGCAAGAAAACAAACAGGGGAGTCAGAGCAGATGGCCTCCTGACCTCTGTGTGCAGCTTGTACCACACATCTTGCCTTGTTGTGAAGACTCCTGGCATTAGACTGCTGGTGTTAATTTCCAACTCATAAAAGCCACAGTTATTTCCTCTCTTTTGTACACCAATGACTGCACTGTCTCCAGAAAGTACTTTACTACAAAAACCTAAACACACATGTGATGTGCCCCTAGGTAGATGGACACACACACACACACACACACACACACACACACACTTCATCTGGACAATAGACAGGTTCTCCTGAGCATTCTAAGAGAGTCACTTTATGATCATGCAGAAAAAGGGCACTAGGTCAAAGTTATTAATAAGAGACAAAACCATGTCCTTTTTGAAAGCATTAAAATCCATTTTACATTAAATTCTTACTTGGCATTCTCACTCCTTTGTTTCACACCTTAAAACACCTCCCAACTATGTTTTTTTTTTCCCCTATCATTCTCGATTCTTGGTTAATATCATGCACAAAACAAAAACAAAAACAAAAAAAAACCCTCTCTTATTTAGTGCCTGAAATGAACAAAAGTCTACAAGTCGTTCTGGAAATTACCACACAGTTTGGTCCTAAGTACCACTGGGACAAAAGAAAATAATGAAAAACATTATTATAAGACAATCAAATTCCCCCTCCATTTAACCTCCATTCCCTCTTTCTCCCTTCCCTCTCTTCCTCTCCCTTCCCTCCCTCCGTCCCTCCCTCTCTTCCTTCCTTCCTTTCTTCCTTTCAGCTTAGGATCAAACCCAGGGCCTCATGCATGCTATGCAAATGCTCTACCACTGAGCAACACCCCCAGCCCATTCTCAATGTTCATTTTTGCCCTACCCTTTTTCTGATCTCTCTACAAAAAAGGCCTTGCAATTCAAACTACCTACTTCCTACTTCAAAAGGCCTTGGATTTCAAACTCTATAGAAAACAGATTTGATTACTGAAAATGATGCAGAGAAAACAGAACATATTTCCCCATTAATAGATTCATAGTAAACAAAGACTGATAAAATGAGCCACACAAGCCTCTGTGTGTATGTAAGATAGGAGCACCAGCAGGATGCTTTTGTTTCCCCAGTCTTGGATATACCTATTGAACTTGCTCCAGAATAAAGCAGATGTGAAGGATGGACATTGGCAATACCTGGCTTAGAAAGAGTCTCTGTGGGTTGTTCTTATTGAGCCGGAGAAATGGCTCACTGTGTCTGCCTCACTAAGGCCTCAGTGCTGCCCACGCAGCTCGTGACTACAGCCAGCCCACACTGTTGTGACTGATTAGATTTCCTAAACCCCTCTGCACAAAATCGTCAAGGGGCTACTGCGCTCATATCCTGTCTCCTCTGCAGGTGAGGCGTAGGCTTCCCTTCTGGGAGGCAGCACTCCTGGCAGGTCTGATAGGCCCCACATTCAATTCAAGATTGCTCAATCTCTTTCACAGTTAACACAGTTCCCACCTGGTCTTCTCAGGATGACCAGCACAGGTTGAGACTCGTAATCTGAAAACCCCAATTCAAAAATGCTCTGAAACTTTTTGAGCACTGACATAATGCTACAAGTGCAAAATCCCACACCATGAAACTGTTTTATGTACAAAATTATTCAAATTATTATATAAAGTTCCTTTCAGTCTATGTGTGTAAGGTGCATATGAAACAGAATTTTTTTATTTGCACTTGGATTCCATCTCCAAGACATCATATGTATACCTATATCATATGTATACACACACACTTATATATACATATATATTCACACAATTATACACACACACACACACACACACACACACATATATATGAGTGAAATCTGAAATACTTCTGGTCCCAAGCATTTCAGATGAGAGATACTCAACCTGTACTAGATGCTTTCTCTTTTCTGAATCAACAAGCCCATTTTCAGATGAGAGATACTCAACCTGTACTAGATGCTTTCTCTTTTCTGAATCAACAAGCCCATCACTGACTGTGTTTGAATGTCACCAATCTTACTTATGAGCTAAAGAAGCATTTTCTTTTAAAATGAAAAACCTGCCAATAGTTAGGCAGGCTCCCAGCAGGCCTCAACGTAGGGCTGTAGCTACCCATACTGCCAGGGACATCTAAGTGGAATAAAGGGGAAGAGTTACCACCCCACTGGAACTGAGGGACGTGGTCCACAGGACCTGGGGACCACCTGGGAGGGTGGTCCCTGTGGGAAGGGGGTGTGTTGTGGTCTCACTGCTTCTCTGATATGCCATCACGTGTGTCACAGGCAGGTGGCTAGTGTGAGCTGCAGAGGCAGGGCTGAACCTCCTGAGGAGGCAGCTCTCTCATCGCACCTGCTTACCTTGGTGTTGAAGCCTTCAGCATTCTGGGTGATTTTGTAGAGCTGAGGAAACCTGAGCATGCTCTCCTGAGTACAAGACCTCTCAAAGATTCCCAGCGTGAAGGGCGGCAAGGCCGTGAAGATCTGTGTGGAGACAATGGGCCATTAAGAGCAGCTCTCCAGCCTCCCACAAGCACCAGCCCTTCTGCTCTCTGGAATGATGACTTAACTTCCAGTCAAGTCCAAACCTGACACTTCCTAGACACCCTCTAAACAAAGGAAATAAAGGACCACCAGTTTTCACTGCTGATGTGTAAAATGAACACACTGAACACTAAAAACAACACTAAATATGTGAGGAGCCAAGAAATCTTGTTCAATGAGCAACTGCACTCTTTTGCTTGGGAAGTATCTTATTTTCTGTTAGTGCTGGCTAACGCACAATTTTACAATTTCCCAACTTGACTTTTTTCTTAAATTTCAGGAAGCATGAGGTACCTCACCCATTTATTCATACAGCAGACCTTTATTGGGACTGAATTATATGCCAGATTCTGTGGCAAACACCAAGAATCTAGAGATTTCGAAACAGAAGAAGACAGTAAGCAGAGATTGGGAAGATCATTTTTTGAGGACAGACTGGAGCAAAAAGTTAGTGAGACTTCATTTCAATTAATAAATTGGGTGTGGTGGCACAACCGTGATCCCAGCTACCAGGAAGGCCACAGGTAAGAGGATCATGGTCTAAAGCCTGCCCTAGGCAGAAACCAACCTACCTAAAAACTAAGGGCTGGGGGTGGCTCAAGTGGTAGAGTGCCTGCTCAGCGAGCATGAAGCCCTGACTTCAAGCCCCAATATTGCAACCAAAAATGAAAACAATCAAAAACAGAAAAAGAAAGGAAAGGAAGCAGTCTCTGGCTTCTGGAACCATGTCTGCTTTAGAGGTGGTGACCTGGGGTAGCAGGGCAACAGGTATATATAAATACATAAAACACAGGACTACACAAATTTGCTAATGGGGTGGGGGCATGAAAGGATTCTTGCATCAGAGTGTGACCTGCACCACACTGGACCTCCAGGATTTAATTCTCCTTTGTGAACAGCAACATCTTACAAAGCTCCATGTACCACAAACATGTTGGGGGAAGCCTGTAAAACACAAGGATTGGTGGTTGACTAAAGAGAGGTGCAGTAGCTCTGGAACACTGAGTTTGTAGGCAGATGGCACCCTTCTAAGATACGATTTTTTCACTTGCACTCTCCTTGGGCATGATATGCTGTGTTGAAAAGATAAAGCCCGACACTGAAGACAAGGTTTGAAAGACATGTGTTACTTCAGTTTAGGACACGCTTTGACCCTGTGGGCCATTCTTGTACTTGGCCCTGGTGTGGGGTGCAGATGGAGTCACTCAGTACTCAGCACCCACACTGATTGGATTTATTCTCACTGACACAGCAAACTCTCCAGCTGTGGATGTCTGCTGTACACCTCTGAGAACACTGAACTTGCACCAGCTATTTGGAGACTGAGTATCTAGCCAGAGAAACAAGGCTTCCCCAAGTCTGCTATGATCAAGCTAGCAGAGGTTGGTGAGTAAGGCCAGTCAAGTTCATCTCCTCCTTCAGCTGTAAGCAGAAGGAGTGGAGCCCTGGGATTGAACACAAGAAGACTGAGAATTGTTCTCACTTCCCTTCAGTAACAAAGATTGCCTATTTTATGGCTAGCAGAAGATGCTCCTATGAAACATCTCAGAAGCCTGCCATCTGAGGACATACCTGAACATCCATTGTTTGCATCAGTTCACACGTGTACTAGCATGCACATTGCTGTTTTGGTTTTGTGCTTTTCTTTCTTTTTGGCTTGACTTTCTCCTTCTATCCACTTCAAATCCTTCCCACCCCTAGTCACTGGGCTGACAGCCCAGAATACCCTACCATATTTTTCACCCTGGTCAGAGCATACTGCACTCACACACATAGGCTGGCTGGAGACCACAATCTGTTTTACAGAAAAGTGGACATTACACACATTTTTCTTCATCATACTTTATTTGCTAAACAATACATCATGGAAAGCCCTCACAGTCCCTTGCATCTGACACTAATTCAGTCAAGCTATTGTTATTTACCCAGTGACAGGTAGGCATTCATTTTGCTTCCAGCTTTTTTTTTATATTACCAACATTATGTAATAAACTTCTATAATATACTGTACCCTATATGCCTTTTCTTTTATTTCCATGGGAGGAAGGCCCCACAGTAGAGCTTTTGGGCAAAAGGAAACACGTATTTTTAATTTTTCAAGATGCTGCCTGGTTGCATTTTTGAAGGGCTCCAATCATTTATCTCCCCCTCATAAAGGACAATGGTGACCTTTTCCCTGCATTGCCTATAACCTGGCAACGGTTATGGAGGTCTTTCAATATTCACCAGTCTGAAAAGTTAGAGATATTAACTCTTACTTTAAAAATTTTACATTTTGAAGATTCTAAGATGGCGGCTAGAGGGAGGAAGCAGAAAGCATGCATCCTAAAGTAAAATCTTGGAGGGACACTGGAGATACACCTTACAGGAAAAACCACCAAGAAGAGGCAAAACTTTGACTCCTCCACACCTCCAGCCTGCGCATAGCATCTCCACTTCACATTAAACTGAGAAAGCAGGATGGCTCCTGTGCCACCACCAGACAGCAGTGCCCAGATGGCTTGGGAAGATGCGGACCACAAGGTGAGCTAAATGGCACACGGTACTCCCACAGACAACCCTGGGCCAGATCAGCATAGCCCCCTGGACAGACCGACCTCCACCCAGGGAAAAAAGAAAAAAAAACCTGAATAATAAGCAATAACAAGAAAAAAGATATGTAGCAAAGAGGGTGGGGCGCCCTGAGCACCGAAGAGGCGGGGAGGGAAAATCCCTCACAAAAAGCCAGCTGGAGAAGGCAGGAGCAGTGGCACACGCCCAGCAACCAGGAGCATGAAAACCTGTAAAAGCAGCGGTGGGAGGAAAACTCCACAGGAGAGGGGGGGAAGACCCACTTCCCATGTGAACTATAAATAAACACGCTGGCCTGAGAGAGCGGGTGCACAGTGTGCGTGGAAAGGGGAAAGCTTGTAGCAGTGGCAGTCGTGCCCAGGAGAACTCTAAGTAAACAAAGCGTGAGGGGCCAAGTGAGTGTTAAGCTCACTCCTGAGATCTGCATAAATAAAGCATCCAGCAACAGCAGGCTGACAGCAGTGGGCAGGTGAGCCGCAGCCTCAGGTAGCCATTCACAGACCTCTCTCCAGATTCTTTTTTTTTTTCTTTCTTCTTTTGATGAGACAACTGAAGGATAACTGCATGCTGAAAAACTTACTGAAACTGTATTGCATTTGATCTTGGGACACTTTGTGGTGTTTTTTTTTTGTTTTGTGTTGTTTTGATTTGTTTTGTTTTTTTTCCCCTTTGATGAGACACAATGACAGAACTACTTCTGAGACACCATCCCTTGGATTGGAGGCTGAGGGAATAACACCAAAATTATTAAGACTGAAACTTTATTGCATTTGAACTTGGAGATTTTTTTTTAATTATTTTTTTTTCATTTTTTTATTTTTTATTTTATTGTTTTTCAATCCTCTGTCTCTTTAATGCCTGTTCAGCTTACTGTTGATTAGTACACTATTTCTCCCTGTTTATATCTTTGAAACTTTTTTGGTTTTTTCCTTGTTTTGTTTTTTTCTACTTGTTTATTTGAATTTCCCTTTTTCTTTAACTTCTTTGCTCTCCACCTCCTCTCACCTTTCCATTCTAAATATCACCATTGTTATTATTACAAGCTAGAAAATACTTAATTGCACACACAGTACAGGGACAATAACAACACCAAGGGCAAGGACAGGAAGACAGAAAAAACATGGAAACCAGTTTCCCCACAGCAAAAAATTAGTATAGGAACCAGAAGGAAATGAAGAAAACAGATACTCAGATCCAGACTCCAACAAAATGAAGATAAACTATGCCAAAGAACCCAATGAAGCCCACAAGAATAATCTAAAACAAGATATACTATAGGTAATCAATGAGAATTTTATAGAGATGATACTGGATAAGGTCAACCAAAATGTACAGGAGACACTCAAGAAATTCCAAGACAACAAAAATAGAGAATTTGAAAAAGCAAAAGAAGAAATAAAAGAAACCATAGAAGCACTGTATAAACACCAAAGTGAAACAAAGAACATGATTAATAAAGAGATAAATGAACTGAGGACGAAAATAGACAACATTAAAGAGTAAACGACTCAGGATATGCAAAACCTCAGAAAAAAGAACGAAACAGAACTGCAAAACAAAACGGAAGGCCAATCCAGCAGAATAGAACAAGAAGAAGACACAATCTCAGAACTCGAAAATGAAACGGTTATTAAAGGAAAAACTGAAGAACTATTAAACAACTCAAGACCTGTGAAAAGAAAATGCAAGAACTCACTGACTCCATCAAAAGACCAAACCTGAGAATCCTGGGCATTGAAGAAGGAGAAAAGGTGCAAGCGAAGGGAGTGCGTAATATATTCAACAAAATAATAACAGAAAATTTCCCAAATCTAGAGAAATCTATTTCCATACAGATGCAAGAGGCCTCCAGAACACCAAACAGACCAGACCAAAACAGATCTACCCCATGGCATATTATCATTAAAACAACAAATACAGAGACCCAAGAAAGAATACTGAAGGCTGTAAGAGAGAAAAAATAAATAACATACAAAGGTAAACCCATCAAAATCACAGCAGACTTCTCAACAGAAACATTAAAAACAACAACACATCAAATGATCATTCACCACGACCAAAAAGGCTTCATCCCAGGAATGCAGGGGTGGTTCAACATATGAAAATCAATAAACATAATAAACCACATTAACAGAAGCAAAGACAAAAAAACTACGTGATCATCTCAACAGATGCAGAAAAAGCCTTTCATAAGATCTAACACCATTTCATGATAAAAGCTCTAAGAAAACTAGGAATAGAAAGAAAGTACCTCAACATTATAAAAGCTATATATGACAAACCTGCAGCCAGAATTATACTAAATGGAGAAAACCTGAAACCATTCCCTCTAAAACCAGGAACTAGACAAGGATGCCCACTATCTCCAC